TCTAGTCCCGCCTTAGGCACGAAAGCCGGCTGGGAGACTTTGGGCCAATCACCAGGAGACGGAGAGTTCTAGTCCCGCTTTAGGCACGAAAGCCAGCTGGGAGACTTTGGGCCAATCACCAGGAGACGGTGAGTTCTAGTCCCGCCTTAGCTATAAAAGCCAGCTGGGAGACTTTGGGCCAATCACCAGGAGACGGAGAGTTCTAGTCCCGCCTTAGGCACGAAAGCCAGTTGGCCTTCCGTGTTGAGTACAGTGGCTGGAACATCTGGGAAATATAGTCCCAATCCACCGGGTTGCAAGAGGCTGGGAAAGACCAGGTAGCCTTCAAGGGCTGGCCCAAAAGGCCAGCAGTTCAGTTCTCAACTGAGATCCATCCGCAGAGCGTCCACAAATTTGGATCCTGGGGCTGCAGCCAGACCCCCCTTCCTTTTGTCCTCTCTCCCCAACACCCGGCCCTGAGTGCCTGCCCCCCCCATCATCTCCCACTAGTCACGTGGCTTCCCCTGCCAGCCTCAGACCACCACAGCCCCCCTCCCTCGGCTGCGGTCTCTGGCCTGGCCTGTCTCACCTTCACGTGCTGCTCGGCTTCCATCTTCTTCTCCTCCAGATACACCGTGCAGATGAAGTCCCCAGCCTGTGGAGAAGGGGGGGGGATGATAAAACAAGCCCCCAAACTCAAAGGACATCTTCAGACTGGGAGGCTAGGCTAGGGATGCTATTAAAATCATTTTTACACCTACCTACCTACCTACCTATCTACCTACCTATCTATCAATATATCTATCTATCTCATCTGCCTGTCCATCCATCTGTCCATCCGTCCATCTGTCCATCCATCCATCCATCCATCCAGATATCTATCTATCTATCTATCTATCTATCTATCTATCTATCTATCTATCTATCTATCTATCTATCTATCTATCTATCTATCTATCTATCTATCTATCTATCTATCTATCTCCATATCTATCTATCTATCTATCTATCTATCTATCTATCTATCTATCTATCTATCTATCTATCTATCTGTCTGTCTGTCTGTCTGTCTGTCTATTCTATCCCTTCCCACTCTCTCAGTCTGTAAACCCAGATCAATGAACCAGTGGAACTCCTTGCCTCCAGAGGTCGTGCAGGCTCCATCACTGGAGGCTTTTAAGAAGAGACTAGACAGCCACTTGTTTGCAACGGTACTATAGGGTCTCCTGCCTGAGCAGGGGGTTGGACNCACACACACACACACACACACACACAAACACACACCTGTGGCCGCATGACCAGACTTCAGGTGCTTGACAACACCACCACATTTACAACCATTTGCAACATCCCGCAGTCACATCTTTGCGTTTTACAACACGGTTTTGACGAAAACCGGCACTGACTGTAACGAAGTGTTGGTCCGCTTAACAAGCGTGTCGTTAGCTCAGTGACTGCGGATTCACTTAGTAACCGTTGCAAAAAATCAGGTCAGTCATGTGACAGAGCCATTTGACACTGTCCTGACTTATAACCAGGATGGGCAAGCTCCAAAACGGTCATAAGTTGAGGACTTCCTGTACAAACATCCATTCTGATCAGAGCGCCAATTCTGCAGGACTGGTAGGCCGAGGCCCACCCAATCCAGCGATGCCCGCTGGCCCATCATCCTTGGCCCAACCTACACTGAAGATCTCCATGTAGCATCTGATGAGGTCCTCCACCACTTGTCCAGCCTTGAAGTCCTTGCCGTCCGTCTGGAAGAGCGTTGGCCCAAAGACGATGGCCAAGTTGTGGGTGGTCATCTGGTTCTCATCAGAAAAACACTGGATGCTGTGAAAGAGACAACATGGAGCTGTGGGACGTGGACCCCATAATTGTCTGCCTGTCTAAGGAAGGGTCTACAGCAAGGGTATCCAAGCTTGGTCACTTGAAGACTTGTGGACTTCAGCTCCACATTCAACTCCACTTGAAGATTTGTGGACTTCAGATCCACAAGTTCAATTCCACTTGAAGACTTGTGGACTTCAGCTCCACAAAGTTCAACTCCACTTGAAGTCTTGTGGACTTCAGCTCCACAAAGTTCAACTCCACTTGAAGTCTTGTGGACTTCAGCTCCACAAAGTTCAACTCCACTTGAAGTCTTGTGGACCTCAACTTCCAGAATTCTCCAACCAGCCATGTTGGCTACGGAATTCTGGGGGTTGAAGTCCACAGGTCTTCATGAGATCAAGGTTGGACATCCCAGGTCTACAGGGAAGGTGGGGCCAGTAGAATACCCTTCCTCACATCCCAAACACAGAACCAATTCAAAGGATGGTTAAAAGAGCTGAGTCTGTCCAGCCTAAGAAGAAAAGGTTGAAGGTGACACCACAGCAGTCTTCCAATTCTTGAAGGACCATCCCAGGGAAGAAGACATGGCCTTATTCTCCATAATGCCCAAGGGTAGGACAAGAATCAACAGGTAGAAGCTTTAAAAAAGAGATCCAAACTCAAAATAAGGAGGAACCTTCAAGAGATACAAAGCAGTTGCGCAATCTCCCTACAGAAAGTTGTGGTGCTCCATCAAGAACTGGACAGGATGATCTGAGGATTCCCACCCTGGACAGGGGTTGGACTAGAAGACCTCTTAAGGCCTTCCAGTCCTAGGATTCTAACCTTCTGAATCCAGAAGTAGGAGCCAAGCAGTAAAACTCAAGAGTTGTCCAGACCTTTCCACCCAGGAGAGAGGGACTCTTCACTTTCCCATCCCAGGTCACCACTCACCGGTAGAGATGGTTGATCAAGGCCTTCATGGTGGCTTTGTTGACCACCGGGAGGCTGTTGAGAAGTCTACGGTAGCGGTTGATCCTTTCGGCGAGGTCCTCCAGAGCTGCCAAGAGAAGCACAAGACAGTGAACAAGAGGGAGTCACCTTACAAATAATAATAATAATAAAGTTGGAAGGGGCCTTGGAGGTCATCTGGTCCAACCCCCTGCTCAGGCAGGAAACCCTATACCATTTCAGACAAATGGCCATCCAGTCTCTTCTTAAAAACCTCCAGTGTTGGCGCATTCAGAGCTTCTGGAGGCAGGTGGTTCCACTGGTTAATTGTCCTAACGGTCAGGAAGTTTCTCCTTAGTTCCAGGTTGCTTCTCTCCTTGATTAGTTTCCACCCGTTGCTTCTGGTCCTGCCTTCTTTAGGTGCTTTGGAGAATAGCTTGACTCCCTCTTCTTTGGGGCAGCCCCTGAGATACTGGAACACTGCCATCATGTCCCCCCTCGTCCTTCTCTTCATTAAACTAGACATCCCCAATTCCAGCAACCGTTCCTTGCATGTTTTAGCCTCCAGTCCCCTAATCATCTTTGTTGCTCTTCTCTGCCCTCTTTCTAGAGTCTCAGCCTCTTTTTTACATCGTGGCGACCAAAACTGGATGCAGTATTCCAAGTGTGGCCTTACCAAGGCCTTGTAAAGTGGTATTAACCCTTCACCTGATCTTGATACTCTCCCTCTGTTCATGCAGCCCAGAACTGTGTTGGCCTTTTTGGCAGCTGCAGCACACGGCTGGCTCTTATTTAAGGGATCGTCCACTAGGACTCCGAGATCCCTCTCACAGTTACTACTATTGAGCAAGGTCTCCCCTATACTATACCTGTACATAGTGGCCCCATAAAACCCCTCCTGCATCAGAGATACTTTACGGGCGCCCACCTCACCAAAGTCCACTTGGTCAGAAGGGCCAAGCAAGGTGGGCTCATGCAGGTGCAGTGATGGATAGGGCCTGGATGCCCAATCCCTCAAAGGGAGTCCTCCTCTTACGACCAAAACGAAGCCCAACATTTCCGTCGCTAAGCAAGACCGTTACGTGGATTTCACCCCGTTTTACAACCTTTCTTCCTACCGCTGCTAAGGGGACCGCTGCAGTTGTTAAGCGAGTGACACAGTCGTTAAGTGAATCAGAAGGTCGCAAAAGGGGATGACGTGATCCCCCGAGACACTGCAACCGTCATTAAGTAACATGCCAGTTGCCCAGCATCCGAATTTTGATTCCCGTGACCCCGTGACCGCTGCGACCGTCGTTAAGGGTGAAAAACGGTCGTAAGTCGCTTTTTTTCGGTGCCGCTTCAACTTTGAGCGGTCACTAAGTGAACCGTTGTAAATTCGAGGACTGCCTATCTCTCGTTTGTTTTTTTTTTTCCTTGAAAAGTCCGCATTTTTCACCGTAGGACGCTGAAGGGTGAACCAGCAGGGACACTGCAGTGGATCCTTGACTTACAACCATCAAAATCTCCGTTGCTAAGGAAGGCAGTCGCTAAATGAATCGCGTCAGATTTTTGTCAAGGGGATCACCTAGTCGTTAAGCGAACCTAGGAAGGTCGCAAAAGGCGATCGGGTGGACCCCAGGACGCTGCAGCCGTCGTAAAACACAGGCCGGTTGTTGCCAAGGGCCTGAGTTCTGATCAGGTGACCCCGGGGAGGCTGCAAGGGTCGTAAGGGTGAGGACTGGTCCTGAGCCCCACGTTCTTCAGGGCCGTTGCAAGTTCGAGCGTTCGCTAAATCGATGGTTGCAAGTGAGGGACGAACCGTGTCCCGTGTTTCACAGCTCCTGGCCCACTTTTCAGAAATGCGAAGCTACCCCTGTTTTCAGGGAAAGCATTTAATAGTAATAATAGTAAAGTTGGAAGGGACCTTGGAGGTCATCTAGCCCAACCCCCTGCTCAGGCAGGAAACCCTACACCATTTCAGACAAAGGGCTGTCCAGTCTCTTCTTAAAAACCTCCAGTGTTGGAGCATTCACCGCTGAAGGCTCTCTGGAGGCAGAATCCCTTGGCCCTGATGACGTTCCCTAGCTGGGTCATGAGACGTCTGCAAGAAAACATCCGAGCCTTCAGTTCTTCTCCTCCTCTTCCTCCTCCTCCTGCTTTTTGCAAACCCCCTCCCTTCCAGCACTGATCATTCTCATTAGTTGGGTGATAAAAAGTCTGCAGGAAAACCACCCAGCTCAGAGAGCATTGAGGACCCCTCAGTCCCCGTCCTCCTCCTCCTCCTCCTCCTCCTCCTCCTCCTCCTCACAAACCCCTCTCCCTTCTAGCACTGATGACGTTCCCTAGCTGGGTGATAAAAAGTCACCAAGAAAACCAAGCTCAGAGAGCATTGAGGACCCCACAGTCCTCCTCCTCCTCCTCTCTGCAAACCCCCCACCCTTCTAGCACTGATGATGTTCCCTAGTTGGGTCATGAAACGTCTGCAAGAAAACCACCCAGCTCAGAGAACATCAAGGACCCCACAGTCTGTCTTTCTTTCTTTCTCTTTTTCTTTCTTTCTTTTTTTTTCTTTTTTCCTTTCTTACTTTCTCTTTCTTTCTTTCTTTTCTTTCTTTCTTTCTTTCCTTCCTTCCTTCCCTTCCTTCCTCCTTCCTTCCTTCCTTCCTTCCTCCTCCTCCCTTCTAGCACTGATGACGTTCCCTAGTTGGGTCATGAAATGTCTGCAAGGAAACCATCCAGCTCAGAGGGCACCAAGGACCCCACAGTCCTTCATTTCTTTCTTTCTCTTTCTCTTTTTCTTTCTTTCTTTCTTTCTTTCTTTCTTTCTTTCTTTCTTTCTTTCTTTCTTTCTTTCTTTCTTTCTTTCTTTCCTTCCTTCCTTCCTTCCTTCCCTCCTTCCTTCCTTCCTTCCTTCCTTCCTTCCTTCCCCCTTCTACCACTGATGACGTTCCCCAGTTGGGTCACGAAACATCTGCAAGGAAACCACCCAGCTCAGAGAGCACCCAGGACCCCCCCCTCCCCAGTTCAGCTCTGAGCTCCAGGGATTCTCTCCTACTGCAGGCCGAGCCCTTCAGGGAAGGGGGGATCTGGGTGTGCCCCCCCACCTCCGCACCTCCTTTACCTGGCACTTTCAGCCAGGCCTGGGCAGAGTCCTTGGTGAAGAGCCCATCTTCCAGGTCCCGGAAGAACCGCTTGAGGGTGTTGGCCACGTCGTCCAGCTGGTGGTCCTCCTCCTTCAGCCGGACCTTGCGGGCGTCTCGGCGGAGGGACTCCAGCAGGCTGGTGATCTTGGAGTTTTGCCCGCTCTTCCGGTAGATGCCCTCCGAGGTCAGTCCTGGGGGGGGGAGGAGGAGGAGGAAGAGGAGAGGGTGAAGGACTTGCAGAGCTCGACATGGCCCATCACCCCGTCATAAGGTTGGATCTGGTCACGCGATGGACCACTTTGTGTCTGGCACAACTCACAACTCACGGTTGTTTAACTCAAGGACTCCCCGTATGGGATTCTGGCGATTTTAAATTATTCCTAGATTCCTAATTGTTTTGATACTTCTGTTTTTATTGCAAGGTAAGTTGCTTTGGATAGCAAGATGGGGAAGGAAGGAAGGAAGGAAGGAAGGAAGGAAGGAAGGAAGGAAGGAAGGAAGGAAGGAAGGAAGGAAGGAAGGAAGGAAGGAGGGGAGGGAGGGAGGGAGGAAAGAAAGAAAGAAAGAAAGAAAGAAAGAAAGAAAGAAAGAAAGAAAGAAAGAGTAACAGAGAGAAAGAGAGAATAAAGACGGAGAGGGAAAGAGAAATGGAGGGAAGGAAGGAAGGAAGGAAGAGAGAAAGAGAGAGGGAAGAGAGAAGGGGAAGGAAAGAAGGAAGGAAGAGAGAAAGAGGGAGAGGGGAAGGCAGGCAGGCAGGCAGGAAGGAAGGAAGGAAGGAAGAGAGAAAGAGAGAGGAAGAGGAAGAGAGAAGAGGGAAGAGAGAAGGGGAAGGAAGGAAGGAAGGAAGGAAGGAAGGAAGGGAAAAAGAGGGAGAGGGAGGGGGAGAGAAAAGGCGAAGGCAGGCAGGCAGGCAGGGAGGAAGGAAAGAAGGAAGGAAGAGAGAAAGAGAGAGGGAGAGGAAGAGGGAGAGGGAAGAGAGAAGGGGAAGGAAGGAAGGAAGGAAGAGAGAAAGAGGGAGAGGGAGAGGGGAAGGCAGGAAGGAAGGAAGGCAGGAAGGAAGGAAGGAAGGAAGGAAGAGAGAAAGAGAGGGAGAGGGAGAGGGAGAGGGAAGAGAGAAGAGGAAGGAAGGAAAGAAGGAAGGAAGGAAGAAAGAGAGGGAGAGGGAGGTGGGAGGAGAGAAGGGGAAGGAAGGGCGGAAGGGAGGAAGGAAGGAAAGAAAGAAAAGAGAGAGGGAGAGGGAGAAAGAAGAGAGAAGGGGAAGGAAGGAAGGAAGGAAGGAAGGAAGGAAGAGAGAAAGAGGGAGAGGGAGGCGGGAAGAGAGAAGGGGAAGGAAGGAAGGAAGGAAGGAAGGAAAGGAAAGGAAAGGAAAGGAAAGGAAAGGAAAGGAAGGAAGATCTTTGGGGGGCCCTCCCTCCCTCCATCCCTCCCAAGGCAAACCCCCCCCCCCCCGCTTACCGCACTGTGTGATGTAATCGATGCACCTGTCCACAATGACGGGCACGTCCATGTCGGTCAGTTGCTGTTCCGACAAAGTGTCCCCGGAGCTGCCAGCTGCTCTCTGGATGGCCCCCACCCAGCCCAGGAAGGCCAGCCGTCTCTCGCCCTGGATGTAGAGCGTTCTGGAAGGAGGAGGAAGAAGAGGCATTACTTACGACCACAATCAGGGCTGGAACTTCCGTTGCTAAGCGAGGCAGCCACTAAGCGAGCCGCACCCAATTTCACCATCTTTCTGCCATGCTGGGCGAATCGGTCATTAAGCGAATCCAGTTCCCCCCCACCCCACCCCTGGTCGCCAAAGGGGATCCCTCGAACCCAGGACTCCGCAGCCGTCATAAATACAAGCCAGTCGCCCCGGGCCCCGCAGGGACGCTGCCTCGGTTGCAAGTGCGAGGACCGGTTGTAGGTCCATTTTTTCAGCACTATGGCAACTTTGAACAGTCACTAAAGAGACCGTCGTAAGTGGGGGACTGCCTGCATGGTCCCTGGAAACATCTCACCTTCTTCTTTCCACCAGCACGAGGACGTCGTTCTCGAGGGCTGAAAAGCAAAAATAAGAATTAATTGAGGGCGAGAC